TGTAAGTTATGCAAGAATGCGAAAGTCTTTTACGAATTAACAACACAGTCACATTTCTCAGATCTCTCATCATTGCGGGATTCGGAATTGTAATAATCATGTCCTTTATGAGCTTCACTGGAATCATTATGTTTGCTCGCTATTACGGATGTGACCCCATGCTAGCTGGCGTGAGTAGCTCGAAACTTTAATTATTTAAGTTAACTATAACTATTTAAGTTACCTAATCCCATCCGCAGCTGGTCAGCAAGCCTGACAAAATGATGCCCTTCTTCATTCAGGACATAATGGGTAATCTGCCCGGCATGCCCGGCATTTTCATCTCGTGCGTCTTCAGCGCTGCGCTGAGCACGCTCTCTGCGAATCTCAATTCGCTCGCTGGCGTCGTTTACTTTGATTACATTAAGCCATTCATACGGCATACGGAGGCTCGAGCCAATGCCACGATGAAGCTGATTATTGTCATCATAGGCATTTACTGTGTCTTTGGGGGCCTCATGGTGCAGCACTTCAATTCCATAATACAGACTGTGCTGAGCATCACGGGCATCAGCACGGGAGCTGTGGGCGCTGCGTTCCTCTTGGGCATGTTCTGTCCGCGAGTGACCAGCAAGGCAGCCATATCGGGCATTCTATTTAGCATCGCTTTCATGGTACTCATTATCATAAAGTCCCAGATGCACTTCAAGGCAGGCATCATCAAGTATGATATCCTGCCCAATAGCCTGGACCAATGCGAGGCCAAGCATTTGCATACGATTCTAAATGCAATGTAAGCATTACAACCTTTTCATTCATTTGATTTGATATTGTTTTATACACATATTCCCCTTATTTTTCCCATATTTTTCACAGCCACAGCAACAACAACACAACCCCAGTGACTGTAATTGAGAAACCAACTGTGCCACCTTTGGTGACAAGCGCCTTTGGCAGTAATCGTGACTTTTCCATATTTGATATATCCTTTTACCTGTACAAATTCTTGGGTCTGATCTTAACGTTCCTTTGGGCCGTGCCCATGAGCTACATTTGTAAGCGGGACAAACACGAATCACTAAATCCAAAGCTGTTCACGCCCCTCGTCCGGAGATTCCTACCACCGAATCTTGTGTTGGAAATGGAGGAGTTGCCACTCAAGGGAGTCAAGGAGTTGCCACTAAAGGAAGACTCGGAGTCAAATTTGAAAAACTGTGTTAAATTTGATGCTCAATTGCGAGATTGAAATTTGTACTAAAGAGATTATATTTCAATAAAACTTATAGGTTGATATAATGGGAAGAAAGTCTTGTAGAAGTAAAGGAATTTTTTAGATTTAGTTGCTCAGGGGTGTAAAACTTGAGAGAGTTCCATAAATATGTATTATGTTGGGTACATTGCAAGAATTTCTTCAGGGTAAACATTCTCTTTGCTAAGGTAGTTGGATATATGCTATTGACATCTTCAAGACGATATGGATCTGGAAACGCATTCTTTTTTTTGCAAACAACATTTAGTTGCAACTATTATATTACGTAAAAGACTCAGAAAGTGCTACTGTATAAAACATTTTAGGTGCGTATAGAGTCTTATCAGAACCAGCGGGACGCGATCAAAATACAATTTTGGTCCACAATACTCGTATCTGCTGATTCAGCATTTAAAGACGCTGTATATGGACGTTTAAATACGTAGAAGCTGTTAGGTCCACTTTATGGATACTCATTAATGTTTACAGCCAGTGTCTAGCAAATATTTCAGCTACTGATAAGCTACCATATTCTGAACTTAAGGTGATACTTCTGATTTGAGTGCTCATAACTGTGCTGACAGCTTACGCATCTGCACAAGCTTGTACGGCTAATCAGCTAAAGGATAATAGTGGGTTAATAACCAGGATGTCGGACAGCGCAACAACCTTGGCCAGCACGGCGGCAACAGCTGCACCAACAGTTCTTGTAGAGGACTTGAATTTCGGCGTCACGGACTACTCCATATTCGTAGTCATGCTAAGTATCTCGGCAGCCATTGGCGTCTACTTTGGATTCTACTCCAAGTCGAAGAACACCACCGACGAATACCTGCACGGGGGCAAGAAGATGCAGGCGCTGCCCATTGCCATATCCTTGGTCTCCAGGTTCGTAGATCCAGTCAGCGAGTCAGTGTTAATCAGTTTAAGTCAGTTCTATTATCTCAATCAGTGCCATTAAATGTGCTAGGTTATCTTAACTTATCTTACTTGGAACAATTTTGTATTACATCAGTACATCACGCGATTTAAATATACATATATCCGCACGGGCCTCTTTTTTTATAAAATTATCTCCCTATCAAAATGAATTATTGGATCACTGACGAACTTGTGGAGAAACAATATAAAAGTCGTAAAGATAAAAGTCGTACTCTGCGAATCCTTGCTTATTGTTCGAGGCATTAAGTAAATGCTTTGATTTCCTTTTATTTTCTTTTATTTTAAAATCCAAAAAATTATATTGAAAAATTATATAATTGTGGACAGTCAACTATCTGGAGTTGCGATCATGTCAGTTCCAACCGAGAACTACACATATGGCTTCAACTTTATATTCAGTGTGCTGGCCATGTTGCCAACTATCCCAATCCTTATATACATTATTGTGCCGGTGTTCTACGACAACAACGTCGTCAATTGCTATGAGGTATGTGGAAATGGATTATCTATCTATCTGAATACATATTCTCTATTCTCTCAGTACTTGGAGATGCGTTTCAATAAGGGAACTCGTCGATTCGTCACTCTCACATTCATTATGAACCAATTCCTGATGCTGCCCGTCTATATGTTCATACCCTCGCTTGCCTTCTCTCAAGGTAAGTGCTTTGACTTAGCAAAAGTTATTTACTAGAAGTGTTTCTCTGCTTTCGTTTCATCCACAGTGACCGGTGTAAATATTCACCTGATCAATATAATTGTCTCCTCGGTGTGTGTTTTCTACACCATGTTGGGAGGCGTTAAGGCGGTCGTCTGGACGGATGTTGTCCAGGCTGCTGTAATGCTTATCTCGGTTATCATGGTGGCAGTCTTGGGCATAACGGAAACAGGTGGCTTGGCTACTGTGCTGGACCACGCTACACAGGGAGGACGTATGAACTTTGAGTAAGAAGGATGGATCTTAAATATACTATACATTTGCGATACATATTCAATTGAATTCCATATAGCTTTAGACTGGATCCCAGGATTCGAGTTACTATATGGAATGCCATAGGCAGCGGCTTACTTCTGTGGACGGGTAAAATTGGACTTGATCAGAGCTGTGTTCAGCGCATTGTCTCATTGCCGTCGTTTAGGGAAGCCAAAAAGTAAGTCAAATTCCGATTTTTTATATTTCTATGTGTTACATATATTTTATTCGCTATTCATTAAACAGATCTTTAGTTGTGGCGGGATTCGGTTTCATGATTATCATGTCCGTCACCTGTTTTACCGGCATTATTATGTTTGCTCGCTACTTCGGCTGTGATCCCATGTTAGCTGGCGTAAGAATACTGAATTTTAATAGATTTATGGTCCTCATCTTTTATCTATTTATTGTTTATCATCATATATCACCACCAGCTGGTCAGCAAGCCAGACAAAATGATGCCCTTCTTCATTCAGGACATAATGGGCAAGCTGCCGGGCATGCCCGGTCTGTTCATCTCGTGCGTATTCAGCGCTTCGCTGAGCTCCCTTTCGGCCAATCTCAACTCGCTCGCTGGCGTCGTCTACTTCGACTACATCAAGCCGCACATACGGCATACAGAGGCGCGGGCCAATGGATGCATGAAGCTGGTCGTGGTTGCCATGGGCGTCTACTGCATTTTGGGAGGCATCATTGTGCAGCACTTCAACTCCATTCTGCAGACCATGTGGACCGTTACGGGCATCAATACGGGCGCCGTTGTGGGTGTCTTCCTGCTGGGCATGTTTGTGCCCCGTGTCAATGGGAAGGTGGCAATGACCAGCATCATATTCAGTGTGCTGACCATGCTCTGGCTCATCATCAATGCAATGATGAACATCAAGGCGGGACTCATTAAGTACGAGGTGCTCCCAAACAGCTTGGATCAGTGCGAGGCTCGAGGCTTCCATGCAATTCTTGCAGCCATGTATGTTTCATGACCTTCCTATAAGAATATATACACACATGCTGAAAGGTCTTCCACAGAAATCACACAACAACTACACCAGCAACAGCAACAGCAATACCATTGCCTGTGAATGTGACAACAGCCTTTGACAGCAATCGGGAGTTTTCAATCTTCGATATATCTTTCTATTGGTACAAAATGATAGGCGCAATCCTGATCTTCGTGTGTGCCGTGCCCTTAAGCTATATCTGGCGTCCGGATAAGAACGAGAAGCTGAATCCCAAACTATATTCGCCATTTGTACGCAATATGTTGAATGTGTCGGAACCAGAAGTGGAGCTGGAGGAGGTTCCATTAAAAGAATCCCCAACCAAAGAAGGGAAACAGGAAAACGGAGCCACATAAGTATTAATAACATCTACCTTAGCTAGTACCCGCTATTCTGTCTCTTTTGTATTTAGAACATTGTCTCTTTACTTTTTTAAACGACAAATTTCTTGGAAATAAAGTATAATGGTATATCTTAACAGCTTTCTACACTCTTCCTTATACGCAAGTAAGAGACCTTTGGCTTTGGTCTACTAGAAAGAAAACTTGTACTAGATTTAATAAACCATTTGATTAAATTCACAATTTATTCATTAAATAATAAACTAATTCACACTTGAATGGGTCCGAAGACTCTCATCTCATTGTCATATGACCTTTGGATATAGCCAACTTTTTGACTCTATTTTACGGGGACTCGTTGCTCTTAGTGCAATGTCTAGCCGATATTTTAGACTACTACCAATAATCTCTACTTAAGCGAAAATCTTTGAGTTCAATGATCATAACTGAGCTGACAGCGTTCGCAGTTGCACCGACTTGTTCGGCAAACAAGTCTCAGCCGTACTAGAAACTCGAGGATGCCGGGCAGTGCAGCTAGTGCAGCCAGTGCCACCATGGTCAACAGTGCAGCCACATCCGAAATGGAGGAGTTGAGATTCAGCATAACGGACTATTCCATATTCCTACTCCTGTTGAGTGTCTCAGCAGCCATTGGCCTCTACTTTGGCTTCTACTCAAAGTCAAGGAACACCACCGACGAATATCTGCGCGGGGGCAAGAAATTGCACGCGCTGCCCATTGCCATATCCTTGGTCTCCAGGTTCGTGGCCCCGCTTGATACCCATTTAATATATTTAGAAATCTGCCTACTCAAATGATTGACTGACTAAGAATCTGCATAGGAGCTAGAGAACTGAATATGATACTCTAGTTATGATTGATAAATCCACGCATGGAAAATTCCACCTGCAACAGTGAAAAATTGGTCAACAAGATTTTGCATGCCGTTCAAACAGGTTTCAACTCGCTTTCCAACAACTTTGTATAAAATATTTTGATTTAAGTATTAGCATAAATTTGATTATATTCATATTAACTAATTACTTTCAGCCAACTATCTGGTGTCTCGATTATGTCTATTCCAGCCGAGAGCTACACATTTGGCTTTAACTTCATATTCGGAGTGCTAGCCATGTTACCAACTATGTCTATTCTTATATATATTATGGTGCCAATCTTCTACGACAACAACGTCGCCAATTGCTATGAGGTATGTGGAAATGGATTATATATCTATCTGAATACATATTCTCTATTCTCTCAGTACTTGGAGATGCGTTTCAATAAGGGAACTCGTCGATTCGTCACTCTCACATTCATTATGAGCCAATTCCTGACGCTGCCCGTCTATATGTTCATACCCTCGTTGGCCTTCTCTCAAGGCATGTTTTCTTTAGAAATGTTAAAAGTTCTTTATTAACAACCCTTTTCTACAGTGACCGGTGTAAATATTCACCTGATCAACATAACGGTCTCCTCGATATGCGTTTTCTACACCATGTTGGGAGGCATAAAGGCGGTCGTCTGGACGGATGTTGTTCAGGGAGGTGTAATGCTTATGTCGGTGATCATGGTAGCCATCTTGGGCACAATAAGAACTGGTGGCTTGGCCACTGTGCTGGATTATGCCTCGGAAGGCGGACGCATGGACATTGAGTAGGTGTCAGAACGGACGGTGAAGGGATAAAAAGAAAACCTTTATAAGCGTTGACACTTATAGCTTTAGACTGGATCCCAGGATTCGGTCTACTATCTGGAATTGCTTTAGTAGCGGGTTGTTACTATGGACAGGTAAAATTGGAGTCGATCAGAGTTGCGTTCAGCGTATTGTCTCGTTACCCTCGTTTCAGGAAGCAAAAAAGTAAGCGAAAGTTATATGTACCATTTAAGTATATGTACATACATATAACTAAATAAATGTTCAACAGATCTCTAGTTGTGGCGGGATTTGGTTTCATGACTATCATGACCCTCACCTATTTTACCGGCATCATTATGTTTGCTCGCTACTTCGGCTGTGATCCCATGCTCGCCGGCGTAAGAAGACCGCAGTTATATATTATGGATTTGGATTATGGATTATATTATGGATTTATGGACCTCTATTTTATATTATTTCATCTTCAGTTGGTCAGCAAGCCTGACAAAATGATGCCCTTCTTCATTCAGGACATAATGGGCAAGCTGCCGGGCATGCCCGGTCTGTTCATCTCGTGCGTATTCAGCGCTTCGCTGAGCTCACTTTCGGCCAATCTCAACTCGCTCGCTGGCGTCGTCTACTTCGACTACATCAAGCCGCACATACGGCATACAGAGGCGCGGGCCAATGGATGCATGAAGCTGGTCGTGGTTGCCATGGGCGTCTACTGCATTTTGGGAGGCATCATTGTGCAGCACTTCAACTCCATTCTGCAGACCATGTGGACCGTTACGGGCATCAATACGGGCGCCGTTGTGGGTGTCTTCCTGCTGGGCATGTTTGTGCCCCGTGTCAATGGGAAGGTGGCAATGACCAGCATCATATTCAGTGTGCTGACCATGCTCTGGCTCATCATCAATGCAATGATGAACATCAAGGCGGGACTCATTAAGTACGAGGTGCTCCCAAACAGCTTGGATCAGTGCGAGGCTCGAGGCTTCCATGCAATTCTTGCAGCCATGTATGTTTCATGACCTTCCTATATGAATATATACACACATGCTGAAATGTCTTCCACAGAAATCACACAACAACTACACCAGCAACAGCAATACCATTGCCTGTGAATGTGACAACAGCCTTTGACAGCAATCGGGAGTTTTCAATCTTCGATATATCTTTCTATTGGTACAAAATGATAGGCGCAATCCTGATCTTCGTGTGTGCCGTGCCCTTAAGCTATATCTGGCGTCCGGATAAGAACGATAAGCTGAATCCCAAACTATATTCGCCATTTGTACGCAATATGTTGAATGTGTCGGAACCAGAAGTGGAGCTGGAGGAGGTTCCATTGAAGGGAAGGGAAGGAAAACGCATAACTGTTATTCACAAACTAAGTTAATACGCAATGTTATGTCTCTTTTGTATTTTTAAACGATTTATTTACAAAAGAATATTTAAATGAAGAATTCCTTATACAGAAAGTATCCAGCTACATACAAAAACTGTTTCGACTGATTATTTCAGTTATAAAAAAGAGTTCCAAAGTATTTTACGCTCTTGTGTGTGAGGTTTTTCTTTTTTTTTGTTTTTTGTTTTTTTTTTTTGTTTGTTTTGTTTTTCGAATTTTTCATTGAAAAATTGTACAGTACTATTCGTAATTTAGTTAAGATTGCCTGGAAAAGATTTTTGTGTTGCAATGTCTATGCAGAATACAATTGATGCGTTGTTTGATACAATTTTTTTTTTCAGGTAAAATTAAATGACAAAATTTTAATAGCTATATGCTAAATGTGAGCAACTTCAAATTAAGAAATATTGTATTGAAATTAAAAATACAAAAAAAAAAAAAAACAAGGATTTGTTGTTAATAGCCAGGTAAGTGTGAATGGCATTCGTAAAGTTATAAGATATAGAAATATGTATATATCTAAATGTACTTAATTTCTTGAATGACGCATCAGCTGTTTAAATCTTTCCTTGGGTTTTGAGTGTTATCCAAATGGGTTTGTTAAAGTTAGAATCGTATTATAGATTATGTCTTAAAATTTAAAAACATCTATTTTACATACATTTCTTAATAATGTATTTCTTTTGTTTCCGATTTAATTAATTTTACACATACATATTATTTATAGTTGATTGCTTTTAACAATTTATGTGTGTGTGGGGTTGGGCTTGTGTGTGTGTGTGTTTAGATTGGCGGGTTAGGGCTACGTGATAGTTTCTATTTGCTGTGGATGTGTTATTGTTAGTCTATATTGCTCACACAAAACAGCATTGAAAGTCCAGCGTCGATTACAGCCAAAGACTGGAAGATGTTTAGTGAATTGCAATCGCGTACGATTTTGTGGCTTGAGAATAAAAAGAAAAATCTTGACAATGGAAAAAGAACTTAGCCCTGGTTAGGCGTTAGGCGCGTGACGTAGTAGACGTACGAAAAACTCGTCGTGATTTGCATATTTGTTGGCTTGTCGAAATGAGCCGAAGCAACACTTGTACATATACGGCTTTTAACTTTAGTTATTGGTTTTCATTATCATCATCATCATCATCATTATTATTATTATAATTATGGTGCTGCTTAATTGCAGGCCTGCGGCGTCACATGGTTCTCGCCATCTTCGGTGGCATTGTTAACGATCTTCGGTTCACCTGCAACAAGTTTAGCTTTCATTATAATGTTCTAGATATTAGAATGAAAAGTATTTATATACCATTGTCATTGTGCTCGGACTTGTTGTCGCAGTTTGTCTCCTTGGCGGGTGCGGCTGGCGCCTCCGTTAATGGGACTTCGATTGGGGCAACTGGCGCAGCCAGCTTGCTCACATCATTGCTGGCGGGAGCTTCATCAGCTTTGGTTGTATTGTTATCTGCTGATGAGCTTTCGACTTCGCTTGCTTGTGCCTCCTTCTCTGGAAGGACTGGAGCATCCTCTTTGGCTTCGGTGGCCAATTCAACGACTTCGTTATTGCTTGTTGCCATTTCGGCCGCTTTAGGTTTGTCGCTGTTTTCGACAGCGGCTGCTACTGGGGCAACTTCTTTGACGGGTGATATGGGCCTGGCAGATTCAGTGCTGACTTTCGAACTTGAATCTACTTCCATGGGTTCCGGTGTTTGCTGCTTGGCGGGCTCAGCAGTTTCGGTGGTTTCGGGTTTCGGCTCCCCACTGCTCTCACTTTCTTGCGACTCTTCTGAGTCCTTCTTTTTGTCTACTGATTCTGTGATGTCAGCAGGTGTAGAAATGTCGGAGGATGTTGCATCAGCGGTAGTCTGATCCGTTTTTGATTGTTCTTTCTCATCGTCATCCACTTCCATGAGTGACTCAGAAACAGGAACAGCAGCTGTCGCATCACTCTTTGGTGGGCTTTCAACTTTGGCCGGTTCCTCCGCAGTTGTCGATGGCTCGGGTGTTTTTTCCTTTGTTTCGGGTTCTTTTGCGTCTGATTTATCGTGAACAATGTTGTTTTGTTTTTCCTCTTGTGGGGCAGGCTCCTGGGCAATGGAATCAGGCTGATCCTTACTTTCGGTGGTCTTTGACGCAGGTTCATTCGTTTCTGTAGCCTTTGTTTCGGCATCCTCTGTGTCCTTGGTATCCTTTTTGTCTTTCGCGTCAGCTGCCTTCTGTTTTTGTTCCTTTTCTTCCTTCTTTCCTTTCTTCGCAGTGGCCTTGAATTCATAATTTAAAATTAGATGACAAAAAATAACAAAAAGCTCATTAACTTACGGTTGTTTTAGTGGTTTTGCTTGCTTGAGCCTTCTCTTCCACCTCCTCCTTCTCCACAGTTACTGGCTTGGCTTTTGTTGTCTCTTGTTCAACTTCTTCATCGCCGCCAACATCCAGCTTTCGAGCACCGCGTCCCCGTCCTCCGCTCTTAGCGATCGCTGGCGATGTGCGAGCCTTTTTACTTGGAGGCGGTGTAACGGTATCAGCGCTTCTTGTCGGAGTACCTCGTGTACTGGATCGAGTACGCCGTCCACCCTCCAGCTCCAAGGTGCCGCCCATTGTCCGCACCAATTCCTCACTCTCGCGCTGAGCGCGCTCAATGAATGAGCGTCGCTTTGGCGTACGTTTCTACAATGATTGTTTACATACACATCAAAATATTGCACGACTTATACACGTACATCTCTCAATAAGAGATTTCAACTGGATTTAAATGCAAGAAATCATTAACCCGTCTATTCAACTCGGAGCATTGATATTAAACGGTAAATAAATGCCCATTCTCAAGCGCAACGTATGAATGCACATACACGCCTGCACATATACATGTGCATATGTATACATACATATTCATGTATGACAAAGTACAGCAAACAACAAAAAGTCCAAAAGAGAACAAGAAAAATAAAAACAAACGAGAACGAGACAGACGCGCGCAGCGGCAAAACGTGCACAAAAGAGACTACCGATTGCCTGTAGCGAGTGTACCACGCGACATACAAAAATAAATACACACACACAACCGTCGTTCAGAATATGTGTATACACACACACGCAAACGGGGGATGTTGGGAAAAGCGCGCGCACACGAGGGCAACAAATTAACATCAACACGAAAGAGCGAACGTAAAGTGAAAAAAACAACACAGAACATTTCACATATGTACTTCAAAATGTGCTGGTATCTGTTTTGCGTTTTTCGATATGTTTTGGAAAAATTCTGCTTATGGGTTCAATACAGTCACCTAAGTACATACAATGCCCCCGCTCTTCCAGATAATTCTGTTCGTCACAATGCGCGAGTATGTTAGCTCTAAAGCGCGCTCTTATCGCACGACCCCCGGTGTTAATTGTGACTGTGCCTAAACACACACACACAACCATTCAAGTTTGCATGTAGTATGTATCCATGTATGTGATTTCTTACATATTTCTAAACACTTACGGGTGTCTTCTTCTCATCCACTGCCGGCTGAATTGTTGCATCTTCATCGTTGTTGGATTTGGTTTCGGCAACCGTCTCTCCTTCCGGTTTTTGTATGCTGGTCTCGTCGGACATTTTGACGTTGGTATTAGTATTAATATTGCTTACAAAATACAATGAATTGTATTTTGCAATGTTTTCGTTCAGTTGCAACGCTTTGCTTTAAAGTAGCGAGTTCTCTCTTCTGCTCTCCTTTCGCACTGGGACAGCGATATAAAGCAACTAGCAGGTATATTACGCACACATATATACATACACACGCCACGCTGAACGCGCAAAATTTTTAAATGCAAATTTATGTTATTTTGCACAAAAATCAACGGTTTCACTTGTCGACTTTAGCACCGGTGTATACACAATTATGGATTTCTAGAATTTTCGACAGAAAATTCGTTGAATATTACACTTTTTTAACGTTTTCTTTACGAGCCAAAGATAAACGTAACCCAACAACTGGACTATTTGCTTCTTCTAAAATGTGAGTGTTGCACAGCAACCTTCTATGGCGGCCTTTTTCGCCAGTGCTGGAAAGTAGACGATGTTATTGTGGTGGTTAGCAGATAGCTTCGATAAATTTCTTATCGTTAATACAATTGTCGAATTTCCACGAGGCAGGCGGCGGCTCGTTATTTACATTTAATTAATCACACAAAGTAGACATGGTGTCCCAGGAACAGATCAAAGCAATTGGTGGAGTATTGAACAATAAAGAACGGCCCCTTAAGGAGCGTTTTCGTGCACTCTTTACATTGAAAAACATCGGCGGCGGCACTGCCATTGAAGCAATCAGCAAAGCATTTAATGATGATTCTGCATTGCTTAAACACGAATTGGCTTATTGTTTGGGACAAATGCAGGATACTCAAGCCATAGAAACATTGACCAAAGTGCTACAGGACACCAGTCAGGAGCCCATGGTACGCCATGAGGCTGCCGAAGCATTAGGCGCCATTGGTCACCCAGATGTTGAGCCCATACTCGAGAAATACAAAGAAGATCCAGTGATTGAGGTTGCCGAGACCTGTGCTATTGCCCTGGATCGTGTGCGCTGGCTGCAGACTGGCCAGCAAGTGAATGACAACAATCCATATGCATCAGTGGATCCATCGCCGCCAGCAGCAGGCACAAAAAGCGTGCAGGAATTAAAGGCAATCTATCTGGATGCGAATCAAAGTCTTTTCGATCGCTATCGAGCGATGTTCAGCTTGCGGAATTTACGTACAGAGGAGAGTGTTTTGGCTATTTCTGAAGGACTTAAGGACAAGTCTGCACTGTTCCGGCACGAAGTTGCATTTGTGCTGGGCCAGCTCCAGGATCCGTGCAGCATACCCTATCTACAGGAGAACCTCGAAGATCGCCATGAGAATGAAATGGTTCGCCACGAGTGCGCCGAGGCACTGGGTGCCATCGCCACAGAGGAATGCATTAAGATTTTAAATCGTTACTCGGATGATGACAAACGGGTCGTAAAGGAAAGCTGCGTCATCGCCCTGGACATGTGCGAGTACGAAAACAGCCCGGAGTTCCAGTATGCCGATGGCTTGACCAAACTGGACGGATCCAAGTGATGCTAATCTAAGAAAATTATTCATTATTGTATATATTATTTGTAAACAAACGTATTTGTATTATTGTTATATCTAATCAGTAAATCGGCGAGATAAACTATCACAGAACGTGACATTCAACACGTCATCTGCTGCGATCATCACTATTTCAGAGAAATTGCATGCGGGTTTTTATTGTATGTCTGCTCAAAGGGCAAACTATGCTGGGAAATTATTTTGTTATTAAGCACCTATGAAAGCCATTTATATTTTTATAAAATCATTTGTTTTCCAACGTATTTATACTACACCACAAGTGTGCCCGTATAAATTAAAAAATTCCCTCAAATTAATTCTCTACTAAATTTGAATATATATCGACGCTGCACTGTTTTAGAAAATTAGTGCTGGTAAACCGTTTCAGCTATACAACGCTTGTACCAATTCCATTTTAGTATATCTAAAATTGTTGCCCCAGGGCTACCGCACTCAAATATGTGTTGGTAAATATCTACCGTTTTGGTACACTTGTACCTATTGTGATAATCGTAGTTGCGAGTGAACTGCGTGCAAATTAATAAATCGCGTAATAATAATTTATGAAAAACATAAAATGCAGCTTACAAACGCATTTAAAATGCCACACGAGAAAATGTGATAGCAAAGTTAATGATAATGCAAATCGAAATCGTGAAAATGCACATGGAAAAAACGTGTGGTCCGCAACTTTGCTGCTACTGCTGCAGCAGAAAATAAATTACATACAAACACGCACACCGCTTCATACATATGTATATACATAATATATATATGCATACATAATATCAAATATTAATTTCTTGGATTAAAAAGTGCAACGAACACAGTCAGCCAACAAGCCTGTAATGCCAACAAGTTTATATTGAATAAATCGAATGTAAAACGCAATTTTCTCAAAGAAAATTTTCTATGTGCCAAAATAAAAACAAAAATTCTCCAAATATAGCCCGTGTATTTAGTTACGTATACATTTAGTGTTGTAAACAAGTTACAGCGATAACGCAATAACAATGTCTAGGTACAATTTTGTGCTTTATCTAGTGGCGCAGCTAATTCTTGGTATGTATTGAACATAGTTTTACTTCTGCATACATATGTACGTATGGTGTGTCTGCATATATATATATAACTTGCGTGTGTGTGCTTTTCATTTTGTTTGAACGTAATGGTTTGCTGTCGATATTATTTACAGTTTCCTTGGTACACTTGCCCTCTGTTACGCCTGATTGAATTGCTTGGCGCGTGCTTTGTAGTTGTTCTTAGTGCGCTTTGCTCTTATTTTCAACTACAGTTGTAATCTAAAAGCGTGTGTGTGTGCATTTAGTGATTTCTTTGAATGGATGACGTTGCATTAGAAACTTGTTGTTTGTGCGTCCGCGTGGGTGAAAATCTGTTTTGCTCTCTCGCTTCAGTGAGTTCTCTTTACTCGCTATTGTTGCTGTTGCTGTAGCCGTTGTTTCTTTATTTTCAACAAGCGCCACTTTAAACTCATCCCTTTTCAATCTGCATAATGTGCATGCTTATGTATCTACTTTTCTATAAAGCATGCTGCCATGCATACATACATACATACATACATACATGCACACACACTTTGAGAGATCCGATTACTCGTTTACAGTGGGGCTAAATATGTTTAATTGATGTTAATTCATATATGCTAATGAATATGCTCAAATTGAAAGTTTCGTGTTGTATAGAAGTTTTTCAAAAACAATTTTTTAAATCTATAAAAAATTTCATAATATTTAAAAAAAATTTATAATGTATATATTTTATTAATTAAATTTTTAAAAATGGACAGAGTATTCTTTTAAATCAATGAAATTTAAGAATAAAAATTTTTAAAATATGTAAAAAAAAAAAACATTGTATGCATATAGAGAGAAAGAATTTGCTTGTTAATTAATAACAGTTGATAAAAATGTTAAGTTTTTCTAAAAAATGCAATATAAATGAATGTACGATATGTGCATCACTGTGCGCCATGGTAAATCTACACTCACACGTGGATTTGCGCGCGAATCGTGCACACACACATACATACATACATTTAGCCCCAACGCAGAGACAGACACGGAGTAGCAGTTGCATTTGCATTTGCATTGGGGTTATAGGGACCACTCAAAGGCTCGGGTGGCCAGTGGAGCTAATTTTGTATGGCCCTCTGCACGAATTGGGGTTGCGTAGCATTCGCTGGGGACTATGGAAAGTTCTGCGCTTGGCTTTCAATGGCAACGCTCATTGAGGAGTGACTCCCCATAGCTCTTGGCCTGTTGGGATTGGGATTCGAATTGGGGTCGTTGGTCCTTAGGTCGTAGATACGTGATATGTTTACAAAGGCAGCCGCTGGAGTCCGTTTAAGTCAACTTATTTACTATTCCAGAATGCCTGCCATTTAAATACATCACCTCTCATTACATACATTTCATTTATGTATTTATTTATTTATTTATTTTTTTTATAGCCTGCCATCTGCTGCTGCTGCCTGCGGCTAGAGGTGCCGTCTTGCCCGAGGGCCACAACATCAACTGTGAACACTATGACGAGAAGGATTGCACCACGCACAACGACTGCTCCATCACCATCGAGCGCTGCCAGGTGGAGGCGGACAAATCTCCCAGCTGCTACGTTCTCTGGAGTGCCGACGAAGTGACTGGTGCGTACTTCTTGCAGCAATGCAGCTCTTTTCGATGATTATTTTGTTTAATTTTTTGTTTATGTTTGATTTTTGTATTTCGCTGACTGCAGGCATCAAGAAAATCAAAATGAAGGGCTGCTTCACGTACATGCACGAGTGCAACCAGACCGCCTGCAACACCAGCAGCAAGCCGCGGCAGGGCAACATACATTTCTGCTGCTGCAAGGGCTCGATGTGCAACAACGAGTACAATTGGATACCGCCCACCACGGAGGCAACAACACAAGGTGCGACCGATTCTATAATTAATTTTATATTTTCGTTTCAGATTTTTTTCAGGTGCCTGCGATGTTTACCCCAATTTCAAGCATTACATATTTATTCTATGTACATTCGCTCAACCCCCAATTGAGGCGACCCCTGCGACTTTATTTCATGTTAACGAACTCTCTGTGCACGCGCTGGAGTTGCCCCTCAGCTTCCAGCATACAGCCTCATAAGCTTGGCGCGTGTGTTGCAATTTCCCTATGCTACGCCGTGCGCCCTACGCCGTGCTGCGTTCTCCGTTCTCCGTTGTCCGTTCTTGTTGCTGCATTTTGTTTTGTTTTTATTTCTCTTTTTCTTCTGTATATTGAGGGTGGCTTTGCATTTTCTTTGGCATGTATCTTTTGTGGCGTGCCTCTTGCACTTTGTTATTTTGTTTTTGTTTTCCTCTTTTTCTGCTTAGCTCCCTTTTATCTTAGCATATAAATTTTATATATACAAAGACATGCCAAATTGGGGACGAACTTTCGTTTTTTCCTTTTTTTTACCGTTTCGCTTGTGGGCCTGACAGTCGGCCCTCTGTGCCAACTACAGGTGCCACTTGAGATGTTGTTCACCTGTGGCGAGCATTTAAAGGGCGCCTCATGCATATGCAATTCATAATTTACACATATGCAAGCGGCCATACAATAAGGTTTCTAATTATTTGTTTGCAGTGCCCAAAGAGAAGACGCAGGACGAGAATAATGTGAACTTCTACATATTGTGGTCGTCGGTGCTGGCCGTCCTGATGGTCGTGCCCGTGGTCAGTTTCTTCTCCTACCGACGGCTCAAACGGGTGCACTTCAACGAGATACCCAAGGTTCGTCGCAGTTGCCTTTGTTCACCTGTTCGCACAACTTTATGAAACTATTTGATTTCCCTTTTAGCACGAGGCGGAAATCACAAACTCATCGCCGCTGCTAAACAACCGGCCGATACAACTGCTGGAGCAGAAGGCCAGCGGGCGATTTGGCGACGTGTGGCAGGCGAAGCTGCACGGTCAGGACGTGGCCGTGAAAATCTTTCGCATGCAGGAGAAGGACTCGTGGACCACTGAGAACGAGATATATAAACTGCCGCGCATGCGTCATCCCAACATTTTAGAGTTCTTGGGCGTGGAAAAGCACTTGGATAAGCCCGAGTATTGGCTGATATCCACATATCAGCATAATGGCTCTCTGTGCGACTATCTGAAGTCGCATACGATTACCTGGACGGAGTTGTGCCGCATTGCCGAATCGATGGCCAATGGCCTGGCGCATTTGCACGAGGAGATACCGGCCAGCAAGACGGAAGGCCTGAAGCCCTCGATAGCGCATCGTGACTTTAAGTCGAAGAATGTGCTGCTCAAGGGAGACCTAACAGCCTGCATAGCTGACTTTGGACTAGCCATGATCTTTCAGCCGGGCAAACCGTGCGGCGATACACACGGCCAGGTGGGCACTCGACGCTATATGGCGCCTGAGGTTCTCGAGGGTGCCATTAACTTCAATCGTGATGCCTTTTTGCGCATCGATGTCTACGCCTGCGGATTGGTGTTGTGGGAAATGGTCTCACGCTGCGACGTTGTGGGTCCCGTGGGCGAATACCAGCTGCCATTCGAAGCGGAGCTAGGACAGCGGCCCACGCTGGATGAAGTGCAGGAGAGCGTGGTGATGAAGAAATTGCGTCCACATTTGCTTAACTCCTGGCGTTCCCATATGGTAAGATAATATTCACATACTTGATTGTATTTTGTCATGCTAAAAGCAAACGTATCTGCAGGGTCTCAGCATATTCTGCGACACGATGGAAGAGTGCTGGGATCACGATGCCGAGGCCCGTCTCAGCTCCTCCTGTGTAATGGAGCGGTTTGCGCAGCTCAACAAATATCCAACCACACAGTTGCTCATCAAGAACCACACCAACATCGAGGATGCAAAGGAGACCACAAATTGTTTATAGAAGCGGTACTAAATCACAGCCGACGCGGCCAGGCTGTGATTTGATAGCCACGAACATTAGAATTCGTTCTTTTTAATTATGATATATATTCAACACTTTAGTTTTACTGTAGTATTGTGCATAGCCATGCGCACAGACATACACAGAGAAAAGCAGCGATTAGCGATCAGCGATCTGCAATTCGGCAGCTGCCATTTATATATATATATAGATACACAAAAGCCCCTGCGCCCGCCCTGCGCCCCTTAGACATTAGCTTACTGTAAGCTAAGAACAGAACAAAGCGCTACTATATGTGGGCTACACCAGAGAGATTAATTGGAATTTTAAAATTGTATCTATAGCCTGGGATAAGTTTCGAAATGCGAAATTCTCTCCACACACATTGCATGATTATGTTTGTGCTCATCTCACATAATCTTCATCGACTGATACCTATAAACACATTACGTAAATTTAATTGTTTTTCGTTTTTAGTTCGTTTAATTATTGCCCAGATCTTTATTACATTTTCCTGTAAGTCTGTAAGCTGTTGAATTATTTGCCAAGCCAGTTCGGCTGCTGTATGTACTTTCGTTTAAGTCTAGTAGGTGTATCTACCAGTTAAGTTTAATTATAAATTACGTTTAGTTTTATTTTTGTAAACGTAATCTTTTATTTTTGCATTAATGTTGTATTTTAAATAAATACTTTAAATATTTTGTGTAAGCTGCAGTATGAAAATTATCTTTTTATTTGTCGCATTTGTTTTTATTGTTGTAGTGCTAATTGTATCGTTTACCTCTATTCGCACTAATACACACAAACATGTTATAGCATAAACAAGTATAAATACACACACACACAGACACACATACGCATATGTAATATTTCTGAACAGTACAAGAAACACCTGAAGTTTTCAAATGAAAGTTTCTTTTTATTGAATGTAATAATTAAGTGGATATACGATATACTCTACGATAAACATATTCACGCAGACTTAGCCGACTTCTAAAGCACCCTGACTTGAAGAGTTCAGTAAAAAGGATAAACATACTAATTTAATATTGTTGAGTCCACACAATTAATGTACATATTTGCATGTCTCGGACAGATTTAGATGTAATGTTAAGGCACATATATATACGATATACAATTGGATAAATAGTAGATGGTAAAAGATAAAAGAGTTGAAGAATAGCAAAAACAATTAATGTTTCACAATGATTGTTAAGAACCATGGGAAAAGAATTATCAACATATTTTCAAGAAGGTATAGATGTGTGTAACTTTAAGTTAGAGTATACAAATATTCGAGAAAACACAATTATCGTTTCTTTGTCTTTAAATAAATATATATAAATATCTAATTCGATTAGCGACGAGGATTCAATCAAACATATACCGTATATGCGTATACGGTATTCAGAGAACAGAACAGAACAGAACAAATACGTGCAATTCACGATACAAACAAAGCTTCATTACCTGATTTTTAATTCTGAGCAACATTATTTATAACGCAACATGATAATAGAAATAATTTTGTTATGACTTGACTTATTTCTTTGTATGTTTTTGGTACAGTTTTAGTTGAATGGTGCTGATAATACATAGAAACAATAATTTTTCAAGTGGTTGGAATCAAATACATAAGTATTAAATAAAGCAAATGCAAAAGCAGTATTCAAATTGAGAATGCAATAAAAAAAAAAAAAAAACAATTCATTGTTCATCACAGTAGTTTGTTACATATCAGATGCCCATATAGTGGGGCATGGAAGTTAAACATATATATACATATATATTTCAGCACTGAAATAGTTGAGATACATAGATACAATTTTGAAGACTTTTTGTATTATCGATTTTCAAGACAAACTCTTTTGATACAGTTATACAAACAGTCCAACTGGCGTTCACAATAACCATACAGCTGGCTGTCCATTACATTGAAAATAGTCTTGATTATCATGAATCATAAAAATGAAAATAAATCATCATAAGTGTTTTTTAAAAACGATCATTATACGTTTAATGTTTTATAAGTAAAATAAACGAATACAAAATTGCCGAAAATAAACGAAGAGACTTACGGTACATAAACACGTTATTCGATTGCAAGTCATGTTATATATAATTATATACTGGCATAAAAATTTTCTTTGATAATAATCGATTTAAAATAAATCTTTTCAAGCGTTTGAAATGTGTTATATGGCCTATATCATTTTGTGTGTTTGTAATTATTTTTACTATAAAAATAATCTTAGTTATCAACTAGAAAACATCGAGCCGAGCAATGGCACACTGAAATATGTTGTTTACAGAGCAGAAAGTGGAAGCTGTAGATGTTGTTGCCGTGGAACTTAACTCCCTCTTACATTTTGATACGTTATTGGCTACTTTGGCAACCATTAAAGTGGTGCATAGCAAAGACCTTTAAACAGGTAAGAGAGAGAGAGAGAGAGAAGTTGTTGATCGTATGTAAACAGCGCTCACGTCATTGGTGTCAATGATCTTGATCCCGTTATCCTAATGATGAAAGTATGGACTGCAGGCACCGTCTGCAGTAGAAACAAAGAGCGAGACAGGTAATACATGTTTACATAACGCTCACGTCATTGGTTGCAATAATTTGGATCCCGTTTTAATGATGGCGCAAGCACAGAAGTTTTAATTGGTCAGTTGAAGTCTCTTTTTGCATAAGTGCGACTGTAGGCTTTAAAATAATTTCCCACAATGAGGGAGAGGTCAACAATGCTACGAAGACAATTTTAAAGATGAGGGTGAATATAGAGTTGAATCTGCCTGATCGTGTTTATGTGTGTATGTGAATAGGCATCGCCTGTATGTACATATGCCGTTACGTAGATATATATTACCTTTTTCATTTTCACATATAAATTCCAGCTGCAAATATATAAATTTTGAACCTAATGTAAGTAGTATACAACGCTGCAATTGTTCGCCTTCTTTCTTTATTACAACTTTTAATGATACAATCCGTTATACGTATAATTCAATTCGAATATAATATGATTACATACAATTGAATCAGAACTGAATTACAAACACCGATAATAATTATTACAAATATTGAGGATATACAGAGAGTTCAATCTTATCAAATCTCATTCCACAAACAGAAGTATAGAGTATAGTTTGTAAAGCTCGTAGAGCGGGCTTCATAAGTTACATATCTATAGTTATATGGTTATATCGGAAATTTTACGTATACTGAGAAAAATCAATCTTAATAAATTACTAAAATCGCGTATGAATTATATAAGTAGTAATATATAATTATATTCGTATATAATCGTATATAAGTATAGTTAATGACTTTTGGACCATTTCAATTGTAGTTCCATTTGCCTCATTCCATATTATCAGACTTATCCAAACGTTCCGTTGCCTTAATTTGTAATACTATATTATAAATTGTTTGGAAAAAAATCGCCCTCTATAAAACGCTAAACGTGTAAAGTTATCCAACAATATTCCAAGTCCTGTGCGTTTTGCATGGGTGTGTCTCTTACTAAAATAGATTCTGTTACATCATTCGTTATGTTTCTATGTATAATAAATGTATATATATATATGTGTGTATATATGTATATAATAGTATATTCATTATTATTGAGGGCTCTTTAACAAATGGAGCATATTATTATCTAGGTTATATTATACATTTACATACACAATACAAATGTGACTACTTTAAGTACTTATTAAGTTTGTACGATATGTTTGTCTAGGGAATTGGTTTTGTGTTTTGTCTTGTTTTGCTTTGCTTTTCAAAAAAGGATAAATCGCTGCTATAGTCATTTGCAAATTGGAAATATACTTGTATGCTGTTTTGGGACGGTTTCTAGGTTCGTAAAGCGAATGTCAACTAGTGGAAACTAGTTACTTAGTTTGGGCAAAGGAATTGTAAACACTTAGCTCATTGAGTACGAGTAGAAGTACAAGAATATAGTTATGCATATATATATATATATATATATATATATATATATATATATATATATATATATATATGTGTGTGTGTATAAAGATATATATATGTAGGTATACACACATACACTTGTATATGTATATGGGATATATGCATATGTTAGCTGCTCAATCCTTACTGGCCGAAACGCCGCACTTGGAGCGTAAAATGGCTGCCAAACGTTGGGTGAGCGGCTCTGTGGGGGACTCCGAATCGCTGCATGAAGCCGATGCCACCTTGTTGCCTATCATATATATAGATTGATGTATTGGTAATAATTTGTAAATTATGCAGTTGGCACCTACCATTGCTCACATCCAAATCTGTTGCGTTCGGCTCCTTGTTGCCAAATTGCAAATTGACTGGCACAATGTCGTCCTCCTCCTCCAGCAGCAGGCTAGAGTACGAGTGTGTGGTATTGTCGCTGCGGCCGCCGCCGCCGCTCGACGAATTGCGCGATGAGCCCGAATCGTTGTGGGAGTGGCAATGCGAATGCGAATGCGAATGTGAATGTGAATGTGAATGAGTTATATGCGCAGCGAGGCTGTCTGCCGCAGCCGGGTCCTGTTGCTCATCAATGGGTAATTCGTAATCATCGCCGCTGCTGCTGCTCTCCTCCTCCACATCGACATTGTCAATTTCATCATCGTCGTCCTCATCGTCATCCACATCATCGCAGTCGTCCACATCATCGACATCATCATCATTGTCCTCCTCCTGGCTGCTAGCGCTATCCTCGCACGGCGCCTCCAAATCCAATGCCAGCTCAGGTGATGAAGATTTATTGTAATTCTCGTCGCTGTCGCTCGATGCGGCCACTGCGAAATATGCGATTAATTAACTCAAACTGCAAACTGTATAAGCGATATATCTCTAAAGAGACCTACCACGCAGCTTGTCCAGTATGAGTGGATAGAACTCTTTGGCCGTGGCATTGTTTGGCTCATATTGCAGTACTGAAACGAGTAGGATACTTAGATGAATAGACCTATGGGGCGAGGGCGTTAAGGAATTGCTCACTCACTCAATTTGCAATATTTCAAAGCCTTCTTGTAGTCCTTGAGCATGACAGCAGACAGAAACTGCATTATAGAACAAAAACAAATAAGATAAAATTGCGTCAAGCTCTTGGTATACATATATACAGTTATCAGCTGAACAATGGGCCGGCCCATTGGCCCACATTGGCGGCAACGGCAAAAGTTGGCGGAGCTTAAAGTTAAATGCGCTTGAAAACAATTTATTAGCAATCAATAAGCCCAGCGCACAAAGCCAACTTTCAGTAATCCTCTTGAAAGGATTCGCAAATTATATTTGGTTCTTTCCCTTTCGCAATTTGCATTTGAATACATTTCACTTACCTCGGCGAGAAACTCTGTGGGCGCTGATATGCTCTCATCGGCATCTGTGTACTCGGAGAGGCTCTGGCTGAGGTCCTCGCTGGAGGCGGACGTGGGCAGCGTGGCGGCTGCTGCTGCTGCTGCCGCTGCAGCTGCGGCCCCATTCATAATATTATTTATGTTCAAAGCTGCTGCTGCTGTTGTTGTTGCTGTTGTGGCAGCCACATTGTCCATGTGGCAACTGCCGGCCGCATAGACGCCGTTCCCGTTTGATTTGTCCATGTCAAGCAGCTGCAATCAACGCAAAGTTCCTTTAGCTCTAATCGAATTTCATAGCGATCTACTTACATTGGACATGACTCTGGACTTTTTATGCTTTTTATATCTTGAGACTCTGGCTTAAGCAACGCGCTTTCGCATCTTCTGTCAGCTTTCTGCAAATATATTTCAAAAGTCAAACGAAATGTCAAAGGCAACAAGAAAAGCAAATTATCGATTCGCCAGCAAGTGCTATTAAATCGATGATTATCGCTAATTGGATAACATTTCCGCTGACCTTAAGCAGCTAAACGAGTTCAGCTTAAAGCAGGCGAATGAAAGAAATGAAACTCAAAAGTTTCACAAAGAGCAAAAAACTCAAAATGCCAAATGCAAATTTCAATGCAACTAGATAAATGCAGCTCGACCTTTTTCTCACACAGCACCATATTCATATGTGTGTCCGTGACTTAGTGTGTGTGTGTGTGTGTGTGCGTTACATTCACTTTCGGCACAAAGGCAATGCAAAGACCACAGACGAGGCCACACAGATATATACTATTTGGTTAAGTCTGCGGCAAAAAGCGAAATCAAACTGGGTGGGTTGATGGGGCGCAGCTGATGCATACTGTGCTGGTGCTTGGGTGGTTGGGTGGTTGAGCGGTTGCTTGTGTGAAGGGGGCTACTAGTTGAGCAGAGTTAACGCAGCATAGCACGCAAACGAGCTTATACCCTGTAAACTTCATAAAGTTAAATAGTTGAATATATTTCGGCGCAGCTTGTTAGCTAATGGAAATTGATGTTTAAAGTACATGTGATTGATTGATTGATGATTGGTGGCTTAAGGTTTATGAGTTACCATATACAGTCGAGTACATAAATTCAAACTATCAGGAATTATCGAGAACAAAGTTACTCAAGGGGATAGAATTTTGTTCGACTTATCGCGATTTTTGATTTAACGGGGTTTCTTTTTTGAGACTCGACTGCATTTTAAATTATATTTAAATTTATGTCTAAATGCACTCAATTTTCAGTAGAGCATTAAGAAAATTTAAAATAAATTTCACTGAAAACTCGAATATCTTAAATACAATATTTAAAAAACTATAAATATAAATTCAATTAAAAAAAAAAAAATTTATAAATAAATATATTTGTGTAAATAAACTGCAAATTGAATTTGCAGGGTATCTCAGCGTCGAATAGTGTGTAATTTTGATGGCTGTCGTTAGCTGTCATGTTATTTTCATTGGTAACTGGTGTGAAATGGAAATGCAAGAAATTGTTTACGTTTTTGGGTCTTAATTGGCGCTCGCCATGAAACGCCTGCAGTTATGCTACGAAATATTTGTTATTTATGCAGCCGATTCAGTCGCTCAGTCAGGCTCGTTGTGTGTGTGTGTGTGTGCGTGTGTGTGTTTGTTTGCTTCATTCAGTAATTGAAAGCTGTATATTGTATTTACGATTGTAGTGACTAAGTGACGTTGGCTTTGGTGCCGGCAGTTGGGAAATCGCAGCCGTGTCTGCCGGTCTCTGGCGCACACTGTCAAGGACTTTCACATGATTTACGGCACGACAATCCTTTGATTTACTTTATTACGCTGTCGGCCGCAGTGCAGGGTCGTTCCAATGCATATACATACATATATCTATATCTATATGGTTGGCCGTATTTAAATTGATGTGACTGTACCTGGCTCATAACTCAGTTCGCTTTAAGCTCTGCTGTCAGCTGCTCTACTGTCAACCGTCCCTCTAAATCACGTTTAATTACATGTTTTGCAGGCGAATGTATTGAATTCTAATTGCTTTCAGTCTACTCTGGAGTTCCTCCTGCTGCTCCTGCTGCTGCTGGTGCTGCTGCTGCTGTCGTTGTCGCTGTCACTGTTGCTTCGTCCTGTCTCAGTTACAGTCCTGGGCAAACAGCACGTCACTCAATCAACTGTCTGCGATTTGTTTGCTTGTCGGTTGATCTGCTCTAGGTTCGAGTCTCGTATTTGTGTTGTTGCTTTGCCATTTTCAAATGTCAGACTTGTCTGGGCCCTGGCTGTCACGCGACTGCATATATGGCTACGGCTACGGCTATATAAATTTGCGACTGTCTTCCGAAAGTTTTTGTTTAGCTGCCCCGTTGGCCATTTCATTTGTTCGCTCACTTCTGGCAAACACTCAGCACTTAGCACTCACTCAACACTCGATTTTGAAAACATGTTGCATTTCGGCCTAGAAGTTTTAGCCTTTAAAATTTTACTTTCAGCGTGTTTCTGGTCTCAGCTACTTATTGCAATGCGATAAAGCTTTCAGCTTCGCTTCGACTTTTAGTTATAGTTTTTAAGCTTAAAGGGATATATTAAATATGTATATGTATATGCAATATATTCCAGTCTTGGCTGTATACATATTTACTGAATAGTCCTTAAAAGCTTGCGTGTCCATTGTCAATTATTGGTCATTAATGCATTCAACAAGCAGAAAGCTATAAACACTGAAATTATTATCGAGCCAAGCCATTTCCAGTTTCATTAACAACTAAAGTCTGCCATCGACTCTCACCTGGCTTAATCTTGTGGATTACAAATTATGGACTCAGTATCTATAGATATAGATATAGATTATATAATTATTATCTCAATTAACTAATATTTTCTATTAATTACACTATTGAACTCTATCTTTCTCTCACTCTCACTCTTACTATTTCATTCACTCTCTTTTTCTTTGTATTTAAAGCAACATTGAGTTGATGATCCTAAACTTATTCTATTTTATGTAGAATCCATTTCTATTATTTACAACGATAAATTTTAAGAACCAATATAGTTATAGTTTGTATTGTATAAAAATAATCCACTTATGAAAATATTGTTGAGTTGAAATAAAACAAAGTACACCTATATAAAATACGAAACACAAAAACTTGCAATTGTCTTGATTCTCTTTTCAAATTCGCAATCCGTTAAAGGTCAAAAGAAGCTGGAATCGCAAACAAAATCTGCTTAGGTTGAAGTGGAGGGTTTCCCACAGAACAATAAACACAATCTGCTCAAGTCTTGGCTGTTTCTTGTAATAATTTGTTATTATTGTTTGGGGCAAGTGCTAAACACGTCTTGAACTTGCGCCTGACTCCTACATTAAAAATGTATTTATTTAGTATCACAAATATTTATGACTTAACAGCAACTTTAATTTTATGCATATAGTTTTATTTGGTTCCATAAAAATATTTAATTTGCAATTTTAGTTTATGTAAATATCAATTGAAATTGAAATCGACTCTTGTGGAAGAATTTAAGAAAATTCTTTGCAAAACAGAGAAATTTCACAAAAGTTTTATAAATTGTTTTTTTTTTTTTTTTTTTTTTTTTTTTTTTAAATGCACTAAATTAAATTACATTTTAAATATAATTTCAATAAGAAATAAAAATATGCTCAATATGAAAATGTAATGAAATATAAAAATTTAAATGTGATATTAAATTGTATTTAAATGAAGACTTAGGTATGTAACTTTATGAAATTAAATTCATATATATATGTATTTGGTTTAGTATTAATATTATATTTCCTTCTGTTTGAGTTCCATCATTATTTAAGTAATATACATGAAACGTAAAGCATATACTTGTTGGTACTCTCGCCTTATGACCTATTCAAATTTGTACAATATCCTCCGCCTCAATATTAGCCAATATCCATTTGAAGTAGGTGCGTGGCTTGTCCAATTATAGAAAAATGAATACCTTCATAGATCCCGCCTCTGAGTGCTTGTCACATTTTGAAATATTGATTTTTGCATACTGTATAACTGTTAATTTTTTTCTTTGTTCCATTGTAAACTATAATTATGCAGTCAGTCACGCCCAGCGTAACATTCTTGCCAGTTCTTTAAAGAAAATTGCATTTCAAATGGAAAATTCATCATAAATATTATTATTATTATTATTATTATTATTATTATTATATTTACTTTGTGCGTAAGCAAAGAGTGAGTTAAAGTTTTCTGTTCACAAAGTGAAACTTGAAGTGCTGCAATAAACTTGAGCCGCAGCTTGATTAATTAGCAATTGCATTTGGTTGCACAGGTGTTGCGCACTCCACGTCGGCGACAGTTGCTTGAGGTGGTGCGATGGGGGTGGGCGTGGGAGTGGAACAGTTGCATGTGATGCAGCTAAACGACTTGCATAATTAATATGCCCGCTAGGCAAATTGTGTGCTTCTAACGTTTGCCGTGTGGCCGAGACACTCAAATTGATGAATTATTGCGCAAACCTTTTCAATGCAAACGAATTTAAAGCCAGCGAAGCATGAAGTTGAATTTGGACTATGGACGAGTGTCTCTCACCCTCTGTGTGTGTGTGTGTGTGCGAGCTGGGGTCACATGTCGGTCATAGCGCAGTTACAGGCAAACACAACTAAAACGAACCACGGCCACAGCTGAGCAATAATTCAGTAGCGGAGAAAAAACGTTTTTGGCGACGAAATTGTCGCGACTGTGCGAATATGTTTGCCAAATTGCTGCGTTTTTGGCCAAAACAAAAAACAGGGGCGTGGCATAGGCAGAGCCAGTTGCCAAAAGAGTCGGTTAAATAAACCAAAAACCTTTTGCATTCGCCATTCGCTCAGTGAGAGCAGACAATACTCTAACATTTAATTGGATAAACAGTAGACACCCCCAAGGCAAGTACATATATTGCTGGCGTACGTTCTCCCTCCCCTCCTCTATCACTACATACATATTTGTTGTTTTGTTTTGTCCTTGTCCTGGCCATAACTGTCCCCTGGTATTATTCAATAAAAGCGAATTTACGATGTTCATCAAGAGGACTTTGGAAACGGTTATAGCATTCATTGTTTGTGCTTATCCTATTACGTGTGGCGATTGAGGCTATTGGCGCGGACTGCTGCTGGCTGCTGCTGGCTGCTGACTGGCCATTATTACAGTGTCCGAATTGCATGATTATAATGATCACATTGCCCATTTGGCCTTGTTGCAGCTGCAGTTGCTGCCAAAAGCCGCTCGCCAAAGTGTGCTACGTTCTGTGCAAGCCACTTTGAAAGTGAGCCATCAAATTTTTAAGTTTCTGCAGCTGCTTAAGGCTTTAAGCCACCGCTAAAAAGTTTTGCGAAACTTGTTCTTTCCATTTAGCTCATCAAGATTCGTTTATAATTTTCAGCACTTTAGGTTCTCTGATGCTGGCTTTAAGCTCATCAAATATTTGCTTACGCTTTAAGCTTGGCTAATCGATAGATGTGGCAAATATCTGAGCCAGAGCTATGGCTATGGCTGTAGCTGTGGCTGTGGCGGTGGCTGTGGCTTAGCAGCTTAGTGATGCGGCAAATGCGCAATTATGCTGTGGCATTCCTTTGACATGCTTACGTGGCGTATGCGCAATATTGCTAGCTGTAAGCAGTTGCCATGTTTTCAATTCCGCTTGAATGCAAAAAAAGAAAGACTCTCCGCTGCCCGTCAAGCAATACAACTGAATGAAATTCTATGCATTGTTCGCGCGTTTCGCATTGTCAACGCGCAGTTTCTATATATACTTTTAAACACATACATATATACATATATACATATATACATATATACATATATACTTGCTGCGTATATTTTAGAAGCAAGCACTTAGCCGACTCACGGCAGGCGTCTGCCTCTCAAGTGGTAATTAAAATTATAATACCAAGCTCTCTCTGTGTATGTGTGTGTGTGTGGGTGAGCGCGCGTGGCAGCTTCTAAGGCACTTGCCCCCTGACACAGAAAAAGAAAGCCGTGCTTTGTGGCGAACAGCATCTCTCTTGGCTTTGTCCTCTATATGAATGCATTTGTATATGTTTTTGTGCCATAGAATTTATACAATAAATGCAATGTGTGCCAGGTGTGTGGGTGTGCGTGTGTTTGTGTGAGTGCGTGTGTACACTAGTTGTTGTTTGACTACAAGTATTGCAGCAGCAATCACAAAAAAAAGTCAACAAAACTATAAAAATATATGTATGTATTTGTATGCACTGTGAAAGCAACGCTTATAAAAGTTTTTATTTTGATTACTCTTTAGTAACATTTTCTAAGAATTTAGTCCCATGTGTTAATTGTTGAAAAATAATCTGTATAAGGGTATGGAAGACCTATGTGTATATATAATAGTAAACCTATACTTTAGCTGTGTCTATTGAGCAGATCGGATCATAGATAATATAATATCTTATACTTTGTGTAATTCATGTTAAGCTTAAATGTATTAAAAATATATAAATTAATTTAGCTGAAAAATATATTTTTGTGAAAATTAAGTTAAACGAAAGATTTAATACTCATAAAAAAGTTTCTTATGTGACTTAAGCCAACTTCCTGCTTTACTACTAAATAGTTAACAAATTTCATTGTTCTGTGTTTGCTCTACTCTAAGACGTGACAGAGCATTAATATTTAATTTAAATAAATATATAACTACCAATTAAGCAGAGTAATTAAAAAAGTTTCTATGTAATCATCTGAGGCATACAAGACTGAAGATAGCGCTATAGTAATTTCCCAAAACCGTTTTTTTCATCCGATCTCATTTGACCTTCCAGTGCTCCACTGTTTAAACACTATATTATCTGAATTGTCGGCAAAACTTTTCTCGTGTGCATATTTGATATACTTATAAGCATGAAACCTGTTCACAAACATTTTAGCGCCTCTCATTAAGGCGAGCAGCGAATGCGAGAGGCTGATACCTGGGCCATTAACTTTTAGTGCATCATTAAAAATGCTACGCCTGGCAGAAACTTTGAAGTGGTTGCATTTTCGCAAGTTCACGTTTTCGCATTTTCACGTGGAAACAAATTCAAATTGAACTTTGGCCGCAGGATGCAGGACGAGCGCAGTCACAGCATAATTGAAAGGCAAACAAACGGAAAATGAGAAATGATTGCGAGCTGCTGCCCTGGACTGCCTGGTCAACGGAGCCAGCGGAATTGCACATAAATTTCACGAGTTTGCTGTCAACGTTGCCTACCTTCAATTATTTATTAGCGGGGCCTTCCCAAGACTCTGCGCTTCCAAGACTCTGAATGTTGCAGTTGCTGCCGTTACGGTTGCTTTGGGTATTACGCAGCTCCCACGTTCAATTAGCGCTGAATCAGTTTTAAATATTTAATGGCCGTCTTTACTCTGGATACTACGCAGTTAAAGATGCCAGCATTCAAAAAGTTTAGCCAATGTTTTTGTTTTCACACGAGAGTGCAGCAGCACCAGCCGCAGGAGCCGACGAGGATGCGCCAATGTCCTGCTCTTATTATCAAGCGCAATTTTACTTTGCACTCAGCTATAATTTGAAAGTTCTTTTCCACTTTTTACTTTTATTTATTAATTGAGTAAACTATAACAGACGTTGAGTATTTACTTGGGCGTAAATTATGCATTTTATGTGGGCACAAATATGTTGTGGCGCACGCTTGCGTCGCAGTTGCGCTTAATTAACAGAGTCGACTGAAGGAAATGTCCTTTTTATACACACTTGTTCGCTTAAGCTAGGCCAAAAGCAAAAAAGCTTTTGCTTCTCACTCAATTGCGCTCTCTGTTCCAGCTCTCTCTCTGTCTCTGTCTCTGTCTCTCACTGTTTCTCATGCTCTCACTTGGTTTGTTTTGACTGGCGGCATTGAACAGAACTTTTGGATATTGTACCAAGCACAGGGTGATTAAGGTTATGTAATTGGCTGAGGTAAACTTTCATTTAGAATTTCACACATATTTAACTTAATTATATTTAGTCAAATAAGACTTTCGTTTTATATATATGTAATTTATGTTTGCCCACAATTCAGCCGCTTAGCCTGAGACACCCTGCTCGAAAAGCTCTCTTTGATATGCATATGTATGTAAGGGAGCTTTCAGAAAGCTCTATTCACATTCTCTCACAGGTGCTCAGGCACTCCACTATGCGCACACATTGAGTTTTGAGCTCGTTAAAACGATTCACATACACACATACTCACACACATACACTCATACTCTCACGCATAGATTTTAAAAGGCACAAAAAACTGAGAGGCCCATCAACAGCTGTGCGGGCAGCAAGGGCCGAAAATAACCGGATGTTGCGGGTGTGGGCAAGGCTGGTTGGCTGGCTGGCTGGCATTGAAGCCATCCATATTCCCATGGAGCAGAATGTAATGCAAATGGAAAATGGCGGCTTAGCCCTCAGCTGGGAGAAATACTATGCCGCGTACGCAATGATGGCAAGTGTGAATATGAATTAAGAATTACAGGCTTAGTTTAAGCTTGGCTGGCCATGTAAGTGTATGCATATGCATGTGATTGCATATGTGTGTGGGTGTGTGGATGTATGAAAAGTCATTAACAAAAGGTGTATAAAAAGTAGTTGCTATATTTCACCCAAAAAACTAGATATAGCTGTTAATCCTTTAGGGTTAAGGTATGAAAAAAAGCTTAGCATACTTTTGAGGCCTGTGAGCTTCATTTTAGAGCACTAGCTGAAACACATATGTATTTTAAGAGGCAGCTAAAAAGAATAATTATAATGTTTTAATAAAATAATATTATTTTTTAGTATAAAACAAACAGGTTTAAATAAATTTCAATATTTTATGAAACATTTTTATTCTTTAAAAAAATTGAAGCAAAAATATTTTTACATAGCTACATTAATTTTGAAAGCAATTAATATATTTAAATTATTTATTATTAATTATTAATTATATTAGATTTTATTAACATAGACAAAGTGGAAATCAGAGAAGATAGGTAAAAAAATCTTTAAAATTTGTTTGTTTATTTCTAAGAATTTGTAATTACATTTTTTTGAGCCCAGACTTGTCACATACAAAATTGACAATATACATAAATACATCGAAATCAATCAGCACAAGCTTTGACATATGACTGTGAAGTGACTATGTCAGAAACCTGACAGGGTATCTGGCAGTCGTGCCCAACTATACGACTCACGCTTCTTCTTGTTTCTTGCTGTGTTTTTCAGTTAAAATTTACGCTGGCAGTCGCAATCCCATTTTGCGTGTAGTGGGCTTCCGCATGATTTCCTGTTGGCTCCAACCGAGCCCGAGCCGTGAGTCGAGAGCCGAGACCGTCAAAAAGCTGCCCGGCTTTGCGCGTGCAGCGAGGTGCAATGCCAAAAAAAAAAAAAGAAGTGTAAAAGGCATTCGCATTGCTTAACGAATTCAATTTATTGCATTTAACTCATGTGCGAAAAAAATATGTTTTTCATGCTTAGCTGCATGCTAGGCTTAATACAAATAATGGGGGAATACTTAGATCTAGAATTACAAACACGCACTTCGTCGGTGCGGGACCTTGGGCTTATGCTCTATGATATGTTGTTTTGGTTGCTTGCAATCGTTTCAAAATAATGTACATTTAAAAGATCGAGAACGATAACTAAGGATAATACAATATCATTATTATGTATGTATATATGCATGTGGGTGTGTATAAATGTATTTGTGTGTATTAGAACATGTATTTGCTTAGTGAGTTAGATGTAGTCGAGAAATGTATTTATTGTATGCGCGCTCTGCTTGTTTAACTAGTTTATACTCATTCCAGCAATATCGAAATTATATATGCACTTAAGCCTATGCTAGATATATATATATATACTACATATGCATCATATGAAGACTTATATGCTACAGCCAGGCCTAGCAGTTCATGTAGTTGGGCGCCTCGTTCGACTGCTCCTTGGCTGGAACTTCGGGGCTTGTGGGCTCGTCCGTCGTTGCGCCGCCCACATTTTGATAGACCTCGGCATGCACCTCGATGCTGCCCACCTGCGGGCAGGCAACCTGCTTCGGCTTGAAGGAGCTGCAGCCGCTGGCGGAGTGGCTCTTGGTCAGCTTGCCGTAGATGATGTTGGGTCGCTCGTTCAGTTTGATGGGCTGCAGGGTGACGCCATTTTGGTAGTTGTGCTGCTGCTGCTGCTGCTGCTGGGTGTCCTGCTCCTTGGCCTCCATGATGGTGTTAAGATAGCTGCTGCTCTGCGACGTGGACAGCGGCTGGCTGCCATTGCCATAGACGGGTATATTCGATGGGAACATCTGGTAGTGCTCAGAGCCAGTGGGACTGGTGGGCGTGTGCAGGCGCTGGCAGCTGGACATGGGCGAGGGGAAGACGATCTGGTGTCGCTCGTCGCCGGGCGTTGAGACGGGCGTGAAAACGGGACGTGGCGGCGGTGGCACCAAATAGTTATCCATCAGCGATCCGGGCGTGCCCAAACGGCAGCCAAACTGACGCCGATCCTCGTGATCCGAGTGGGTGCCCGAGTCGCCTAGCGAGGCGCCGCTGCAGTTGCTGCCGGTGCTGAGGCGGCCCGAGGAGGAGCTCGAGCTGGACACGCTCTGCAGACTGAGCGAGCTAATGGGCCGTGCCGAGGACTTCAGGCTGCAGCTAGTCGCAATGGAGCTCTTGGTCTCGTCCAGCAGGCTGTCCGCGCAGCTGCCCTGCTTGTCGGCGCCCTTCTGCCTGGAGAAGAGCTTCTTGATGCGTTCGAAGGGCGTCTCGCGCTTCAGCTGTGACTTGACGTGCTCGTGTATACGCTCGTATTCGCGGCGCAGCTGATCGATTTGCTCCTGCTTCTCGCGGAAGCTCTGCTGCACATCGTTGCGGTGCTTCCACTTCTCCACCAGCACCTCCACATCCCTGATGGACAGCACATTGTTCTTGAAGTCGTGCATAATCTCGGCCAGCTCATCGTCGGCATTGGCTCGAGTGCTGCTGGAGGCGTCGCTGGCGCTGCGCTTCAGTGTGCCATAGCCGTTCGTCTGAGGCAATCGCATCGTGGAGCGGCTCAAGAGCAGCGGCTCCTCCACCGGCCGATTCGAGGGCTGGAACAGATAGTTGCCATCGTCGGCGGGCATGGCAGCTGGCACGGGTATGTTGGAGGGCTGCATGACATAGTCATTGCCGGCCGTTGCCTGGTTCTCCAGCGCCTGGGAGCACTCCTGGCTGAATTTGTCTGTCGTCTGATAGTTGGCTGCTCCGCTGCTGTCCACCACATCCTGGGATTTGTTTTGCTCTTTGGATTGATGGTATGGCGGCTCGTTGATGCGCAGCTCGTTGGTGGTTTGCTCGGGTCCAGTTGGCGGGTCGAGCACTTTGCTGGTCTCCAGATGCTTCTCCGTGGAGCAGCTCTGCAGATTCTCATCCTCGGTTTCTACGCTGATGTAGTTGAGATTCGATATGGCCATGGTCTCAGTCTTGGCACGCACCTCCGGCGTGTTCTCGCGCTCCGAGCCACTGGACATTTCCATGTACTCAGCCGTGGGCAGTTGCTTGGGTGGCTTGCCCCGAGGCGATGATGGCGTTGCTGTGCCAATCACCACCTGGGCGCCCTTGGCGCTGTTGGGCTTGGTCTGGGCGCCCGGGCTGCTGGCTCCACTGCTGGCATTGTCCACGCCCTTGAAGTAGTGATAGACCATGGTGAGATTGTGGAACTCCGAGAAGCTGACCAGATTCTGGGCCAGCTTGTGGTGTCCCTCCTGCTCGGCCAGCTCGGCGGGCGTGCGGCCGGCGCAGTTGCGCACGCCGCAGGCCGTATCCCCGCCAGGACACTCCATCAGCTGCAGGCAGAGCCGATTGAGGCCCCAGCGGGCGGCGAAGTGCAACAGAGTTGGATACTCCTCGGGGCTCGACTCGAGCCGTGTGAAAAAGTGCGGATGGCGCTCGCTGGGTCCATTGAGCAGATGGAAATTGGGCGGCATGTTGCGCTGGAAGCACTGCAGCAGATGTTGATCGAGAGCATCTCGCTCCAGCGGACCCACGCCCAGGGCATGGCACATGAACTCAATGGGCGAGTCCTCCACGCGCAGCAGCTGCTCCAGTTCACGCAGCCGACTCTCGCACTTGATGGGACGGGCGCCCAGGCTCTTGTTGTTCTTCTCGATGCGTATCTCAATCATTGTGGAGATCTCCATGCAGGATTCGGGTATGGCGAACTGGACAGTGTACGGATTGCGGCACTTGAAGTTGCGCACCTCGAGCAGCTCGCCCGACTTCTCCACGAGCAGCTTGAGCGTATCGTTTGGCTTCAGTGGCTCCGACAATATGGCCAGCACCTTGTTCTGGCCCTGTTTGACCTTCTTGGGCAGCACGGTGAAGCCCTCCGAGCAGCTGGAAATGCTGCGCGAAATGCTGTTGTTGTTGCCATTGCCGCTGTCCTGGCACGGCGGACGCTGGCACAGCGCCCGGCCCAAGATGTCCGTGGCAATGCCCAGGATGTGACTGATCTGCGCCTGGTCGTTGTCGCGCACCACGCAGCGGCGCCACTTGTAGTAGTTGGGCAGCGCCGTCTTGTGTATCTCCTTCACCTTATCCTCGCCCACGTCCAGCAATATGGCCAGCACCTTCTCCACGCGTATGACCGACGTCAGCTGCGCCATCAGGAAACTGTGCGGCAGCGCCAGCAGCGCCGGACACAGTATGACTATCTGCAGCGCCGTATTCTGATATTTCTGCGCGATCTCTTCGCTGAAGGGGCCATCGTCAATTTTAATGTGCAGAAAACTGTGGGGCGAAACAGAGCGGACATTTAGCTTAATTTGATAATATATATTTGGTGTATATATATTACAAATAAATACTATATAATAGCAAATAATATAAAATATATATGTATATGATTTTTTTTTTTTAATTTTTATGCTGTTATGCACTGATATAAAAACGTTGTTGATAAAACTAGACTTTGTTTCAATACAAATTAATTGTTGTATTTTAAAAATTTACTTTAAATATATTTAAAAATTAAAAAAAAATCGTTAACACTAAATTAATATTTTATATTAATTTAAGTAAATACTCTAAGTACCAAAAGAAGTAGTCAGCAATTGTTGAAGTATTTTTTTTTTAATATTTTTTCTTTTAAGTGGCAATTCTAGTTTTGTATGTGCTTCATCTGCCAAATTAGGTAAGATAAATATGTATGTATATAAGATTATTGAGAATAAAGTTCTAGAAGCATCTTTAGAATTTGAGTCTTCGATTCAGTTATTTATTGAGGGTAGTCGAAAGGCGTGCCTCACACATTGCTCATATTAATTGCAGCAGTATTAGGCCTTACGTTATTTACTATAGATCTATTATTATCAGTAGACTAACTGTAACTATAACTGTAATGCATCTATGAACTAATTGTGAGACTCACTTGAATGGTTTGCGTCCGCGCTGCTTGGTGATCTTGTCGAAGTGGTTCTTCAGGAAAGTGGCGCGCAGATAGGCGCGTTCGCTGTGCTTGGCAGTGATGATCAGAATGTCGTCCATGTTGTAGCCCGGCTGACCGTAGCCGTAGCCAGTTGAGGCTGCTCCGTTAGTGTTGTTCACGTTGCCGCAGTTGTCTGCAAAATGAAATCAGAGACGAAGACGAACGTCGCGATGAGCAAAAAGTGCAACAAGAAGCGAATGCTACTGATAAACCAATGGCCCGAGCGACCCCAAAATGACAGTATATATATGTATATATGTATGTATATGTGTGTGCATGTGCCTTTGATAAATAATGTGTTTACTTAGGATTTGACTTTAGCGATTTATGACCCTGCTCAAATATGCCCATGTTTGACTTTTTCAAAACGTTTGTTTGCCTTTGGCCAGTGGAAAAGCGCCGCAGCGCGTTCATTTCTCATGTGTGATAATTTCGTTAAGTAGACAACGAGACAAACAAAAGGTTTTCTTGTTGCTTCTATTTCTGTTTTCCTTCTTTTATTTTCTATGTGGCACTGTGTCACCTAAATCTTATCAATACGATGGCGCAAGGTTAACTTCTGGCATTCCAATTGAGCCTGAGAGAATTTCGAATTTAATTGAGACAATAAAAGGAAGTTAATATAAAATATAATGAGAGTTCAAGTTGAGTGTGCATAAAATTATTTGAAATTGACTTTAAAACTTTTCAATATATATATATATATATATTTTTTTTTTAACAAATAAATTTTAATTGATTTTTAATTTTTAAATAAATTGCACTTTTTTATTCATTAAAAAAATAAAATTATTTTTTGTAATGTATCATAACCAATTTTATTTATTTAATTTAATTTAATGCATTTGGTTTTTAGTTAAATTTTATAGTCTTATATGAAATTTATATATATATATATATATATATATATATATATATATATATATATATATATATTTTTTTTTTTTTTCAAATTCTTTATGGGTAGAACAATAAAAAAAAAAACATTAAAAATTTTGTTAATTAATTATTTCACATAAATTTGAAGCACTTTTATGTAAAGTATACTTGATATTCTTCTTCTTCAATGCTTACTTAATTTTCTTGAAAATTCGTAAACTTAAGCACAATTTGAAACATGCCACGAGGCGAATTGAAACACAACTGTTTCGTCTTAGCCAGCTGCAATGTGGATGGTTTATTTTATTTGTCCCTGTTCACATTTAATCTAAAGAAAACAATATAAATTTTGGAATAGGCAGCTATTTTGTCAGGTCGTGTGTGTAGATAAATTGCCTCAGCTAATCAACTATGGCTATGTGGCTGGCCATCATAAATTCAGTCACGTTTCAAGCATTTAACATAAATCCCGAACTCGAATCGCACGAATACAACAACACGGCGATCCGCTCAGCGCCGAGCCGATCTGATGTTATCTCCTGGCCAAACGAAAATTTACTGTTGCATTTGGGCAGCGCTGAGTCTGCTGCCGTTGCTGCGTCTGCTGCTGCTTGACACCCACAAATGGCGCGTCGTCGGCAGAAGCGACACTTAGCCACGCCCTGCCACACGCCCTGCTGCCTCACTGCCCCGCTGCCCCACTGTCTCGCTGTCTGCTCTCTGCCGTCAGCCTTCTGCCGTCTGCTGTCTGTCGCCCTGTCGTCTTGTCAGTCCAATGTCTCCAATGTCTCCAGTTGCCTGCGCCTGCTCTTCCTGTTGCATGCGGCAGCTGCTGCTCATTATATGTGGCCAAGGGAGTCGAGGCATTGGCGTTTTATTATTATAAATAAAAGGCTGCGCAAATATAAATGACAAGTGAGGCGCTCGTTTTGTTTTTCGCTTCGCCATACTCTGTGCACTAAAGTGCGAAGGGCTATATTGGTTTGTTGATTTTGGGTAAATTAAGCTATCTGTGTGTACTCTGTACGGTATACTCTTTTCAGTAATTTGAGGATGGGTATATTAGTTATTTTTTTATGTTCGATGTTCGCTTCGATATTTATACTTTGTTCAGCCATTCATATTAGCTGATATGTTTTCTTCGCCTTTTCAGAGCACAATTGTTAAAGTGAGTCTATTCTTTCTCTTATATTGTGTTATTACAAAAGTTTGAGCGGGTAGATTAGTTGGTTTCCTCATGTGAAGCGAAGGCTTTTATTTGTTTTGTATATTTCCTTCTTTTTATTTTAATTTTTTCCATATTCCGCATTTACTATATGAATTTTCGGTTTGCATCGGTCAAAAATTTAGCCGTGGAAAATTACTAAAGATGTATTACTATACAATCTATACATAGTCCAATCGCAGTTAATAACTGTTCACCAATCGCTGTTCGAATTGGCTTTTCAGTTAACCGAACAGAGGAAACAGAGTATGGCGCAGTCGTTGCCCAGTTTACTCCATTTGATATATTCCCGTCGCTAAGACTTTTGCATAAACACACGCGCGCCTACCCAAATAAATATTGCAGCAGCTTTTATTTGGAGGCATTTGGATTTCTAAACGCATGACAGCATAATTAACTTGAAAATTGCCTCCGACTTTGACTTTTATTTGAATGTGCCACAAAAGTTTGTTGTCATTTTCATTAGCGATTTATATGATAAATGGCCAGGGCCAAAAAGTTGCTCCTCTGCTTGGCTGGCTGAGTGGCTTTTGTGTTGGCTTTTTGCAAACTTTGATTTTGTGTTTCACTGAAATTTATCACTCAATTACATGACAGACGACAGTTTTGTGCAAATTGCAAAAGGCGATCTCAACTGACATTGAAGTCGCCTCGCCACGACTCGAGCTGAACGCTTTGCCAGACTCCCCATAATGTGGGCAATATTTCAGCGTTTGCAAAACATCTGGTTATTGTTAAACAGTCGCCAATTGCAATTGCAATTGTAAGTAAAATGCGATCCTTTGTTTCACGAGCTCTCTCTCTCTCTCTCTCTCTCTCTCTCTCTCTCTCTCTCTCTTTCGGTATCTGCTCGTTTAGTCTTCATTTTGTGTTGCTGCCTTTGCCGCAACAATTTGCAGAAATTTCGCAGTTATTTTCTGCGCTTTCTTCTTCTTTTCATTTTTCTTGTTTTTGGCACTTTGATCGATGCTTTTTTAATGGCGCAGCTGCATCTGTTAACGATCTCGTAACTCGTCTCTCATCTCAACACGCGCCCATTCATTATATGGACTTACCCATTTCCACATACTCGCAGTTATTGGCATTCGATTTGCGACCCAAGCCACAGCTGGCAAAGAGGCTGCAGCTGCGCTTGCCGGCCATTTTAGTCAAATTGTTGCCAATATAGAATAATCTATATTGAAATTTAAATCAATTGCAAATTTCTAATTATTTGCATGCAGCGCACGGCTCGCGAGCAGCTCTAATTGTCGTTTCAGCATCGCAAATGGAACTGGCAACGCTTTTGCCATTTGAACAGTTCGCCATGGCCTGGGTTGGCCCTGGCTCTGGACACAGCAGACTTTGATTGCCCTGGTTTACGACGAGTCTAGTTTTAATTAATTGATTAAACTAATGCGTTTGGCCTGTGGCTGGCGCCAGCCAGTGGGCGTGCGTGGGACGAGTTTGGATTGCTTTAATCAAGAGATTTTCACAAAGATCATAAACTAAACAGATAAGCAAATTACAGCAGGCAATCTCTATGAGCTGAGAAGTGGATAAAGCGATAGCCACTGATAAACAATAAGCAATTGGTATTCTCATAGGAAGGACTAAGAGAGGAACAACTAGTTTAAAAAGTTTCATAAACTGTTAAGCTTACTAAAAAATGTATACAGATTATTTATTATATTATATATAGTATTATGAGGGGTTAAAGTATGTAGATTACATATGTAGATAATATACAATATCTGAAATATTATATCTTCATCTAGAGCTTCAAACTCTCTGATATCAGCTTAAAGAAGCCAAGAAAGTCTTTAGCAATTTAAAATGATTTCAAAATGTTAAGTTATCAATGAATGTGCCCAAAGCACCTTCAGATTCCATCGATTCATTACATCTTAAGCACCAAAATAACATATGTATATATATATATATATGTATTATCGGCCAACTATAGACCTAATTTGTTCTCAAGTTGAGACTTCTGCTATATTGCCACTAAAAATCACTTCGAAGAACAAACGAAATAAAGCCAAATACACTAAACAATGCATCAAGCTTATTTCTAAAGAATGATACTTTTGTTTCGCTGGAGTGGTTTTATGAGGGGCCCCCTAAACAGTAGTAGGATTGTATTTATTTTTTTTTGACAATTTGAATAAATATGCCCAGCGCGAGCTGTGTGACATTTTAGCAAGACATAAATCAACGAAAATGCGGGATCAAATGGACTGCAGCAGTGGCTGGAAATGAGAGCCCGAAGAGACCGAACTACCGGACGATACACAAATTAACCCGCCCCAAAATACAAAAAAAAAAAAATGAACTGATATATACATATGTATATTCATATACACTATACTCGACTATAACTCAAATGTGCATACAAATTAAATGTATTGCCCTTTCCTCCCTCTCTCTCTCTCTCTCTCTCTCTCTCTCTTTCTGATCAGATATACGAATCTCTTTTATATGTTTCTTTTGTTGTTGTGCATGTTTGAGCGAGCATAACAATTATAATTTAATTATGTCAACTGTAACTTAATTATGAGCGCAGCTTTTAATTTGAGGCCAGTTGATTAAGACTGTTTCAGTTTTGGTTTGGTTAATTGTTGATTTCCGTTCGAGATTTGTGAATTCCTCAACGGCTCAATTAAGCTGCACAAACTGAAGAATATAATTCTCATATGGATTTGCAGCTTCAAACTGTTTCAGATTCATTTTGATTTGACATTTGCTCTACTTAGTTCGTTAGTTTTATTTTCGTACTTGGTCTGCGCTCTAAATTGTTTTAGTTAAATTCGGGTCCCCCCACCCCACGTATCACGTTCACACACAGTCGTCGTCGACCCCTCGACTGAGTGTTCATTGAATTTCGTAAATTGCTCTCAATCTCGCATATTTAGTGTTCTCTTGTGAGAATCGTATAATCGCAGAATTCAGCTGGACATTGGTCTACGGGCTTCACGTAGGGTCAGCAATCGCTCGCAACGATTATAAATGACATTGCATTAGTTTTGGCTGCCAATGAATGCGCCTGC